CGAGTCCCCTTCTGAGGTTGTGATTTGTATCGCTTCATCTTCCGTCTCCCCCACCCCGCCAAAAAAAAACTCCGTAGCCCGACCCGCGCGCACTTCACGCCTTCACGCTCAACCACTACCCCACAACCTCCCTACCACAACCCTCCCACCACCAAAATGAACCACAAGACACCGAAAAAAAAAAGCTGGACTTGCAGGGAATCGAACCCTGGACCACTCCCAGTCAATTGCAATGATACAAAGACTTGCTAAGGGAGTATTATACCACTAAACCACAAGCCCTGATATATTCTGATGGGAAATTTGGACCACTAAATGTTTATAGTGCGAGACGGTTAGCATATCCATGGTGTAGTAGTCCAAGGACATCGATTTAGAGGTAAAGCAGCATGGTATTGCGTTGCGGTGGTGTCTAGCGATATTTGCCATATTAGTGATAGTTTTGTTCCTACGGTACGCGAGGAAAATTTGCGGAACGCTAAATCTGACCATCCCCCCTTTTTTTGGGAACTTGGGTAGCAAAAGGGTTGAGTGGAGTGTTGGTAATTTGGGACGGGCAAGATAATGGGGATTTTGTTAGTAGTCTTGTTATTTTGATCTCATGTGGCCTTGGAAATGTGGAGGGAAATGTTGGGGGTTGTGAGGATGGGATTGTTGGCAAGGCTTGTCGAAGCTTTATTGAGTCTTCTATTGCAATGGTGTAATATACTCTATTTCTATTTTCTTTTCTAAAAGCATGGATTGTTAGAGTTTGTGTGGGAAGGTTGTGTAGAATGCAGATACATGGTATCTGCGGTACCTGCGACAGAAGAGCACATGTTTTGTGCGCTCTATCATACGGGCTCAACGGTACAGCAACTACTCTATAGGAGAATGAATTCATACCAACTCTATGGGATTTCACTATTTTCTGGCGACTTGGAATGTTACGATCGTCAATTACTACTTATTCTCGTCCAAGAATAATCAGTTCGCCTTCGGCGCCACTGTCGCTCGTGATATACATCCTCCCATATGCATCTTGGGCAATCGCTACCGGTCTGAAACACTGCGTAGTGGAACAGTGGTCAACATTTGGACTCCAAACCACATCTTTCCATCCTTTTGTACTGTTGAGCGGTGCTCTTGGTGCATATCCAGTCTGTCCGTGTACAAAGGGTACTTCGATGACTTTATATCCCACCGGCGGACTGCGATTCCAAGATCCATGGATGGTAACGTAAATGTTCGTGAAGCTCTTATCGAATTTCGCGTCAAGCGGTGCCGAATGCGCCGGTAGAGTAAGTTTTGCAGGCCTGCTTCGTCCCTTACACGTATCGTCTGAAAAAGTGGCGTTTGGTTCCAAAACGAATTGGTCGCCCACAGAAAATTTGCGGTCGGTAATGGCATCTGGCGCGCCACAGGTGTAACATGTTGGGTAGCCGTACCAATCTGTGTTCTCCTTTGATGGGTCGCCGAGGTAATTGATCTCATCTGCTGGGTTGTCGATGTGTATGTCTACAGGTACACCGTTAATAGTGCGATGCAGTTCGTCAGAGGAGTTCTCAACTCCCCAAAGCATGCCATCTCCATCGAATGCTAGGCCGACTTCGTTGCGCAAGCCGTATCCCATCTGGTAGCCTCCGGTTGCGTAGTTATAGCCGTCTTTCGGGATCGACGTGGTGTTGAAGACCTTGACGCATGAACGTCCGGTTTTGATGTCCCCAGACGCATAATCAAAGTTGTCATTCGATCCATGCGAGACAAGCAATAAGTCAGAATGTTTTGGCGGAATGGCTAGTGTTCGTGTAACGTGCCCACGACTGTCCATACCTGTAACTATTATGGTAGAGTTTGCTGACACACTCATTGCTGAGGCATCGTAGTCCCAGCTAAACACGGATGTGGCAGAACTGGCGTAGAGTTTCTTCCCATCATGGCTCAAGGTCATACCGTGATTGAGGTTGCGTTGCGTAATGATAGTCTTCGACGACGTCAAACATGCGTTCGAGCCTATCTTATGCGCAGTAATCCCAAGTCCATTTTGTACCACGAGAAGATTCCCGGCAGTATCAAAAATGATCCCGCGAGGTTGGGTCAGTCCTCCAGCCGCCTTGGCCATTTTCCAGCCTTTTGCAATGCTCATGGGAAAAGCGAGGTTCGGGACTCCATCGCATGAAGCAGGTATGCCTGTTTGTATCGGCTGAGGCGTTGTTGTAGATATTGTATTTGTACCCGAGCTGACCGATGTCGGACTGATGGTAGAGGTCGGAGCTAGAGCGCTGCTTGAGGTTGGTGGGGTGATTGTAATGAGATTTGCCGCCACCAGAGCGTCAAATTTCGCATTCTGTCCCTGGGTGAGGTTGAATATGTAATTTCCAAAAGTGTTGTGGACATTGAAGGTCGATCTGTTGTTTGCTGGTTGAGCGGGTGCTTTAGTGGCCAAACCATAAGCGAACTTTTGTGCGGATGCTGCTCCATCGATGGATATCAACTTCCCATCCACGTCATGCCACTGTGAACATCCCCTACACCGTACATTTAGCGTCCAGTGAGTAGTGTTGTATCCAGTACCCTTCAAATAAGAGTATTCAGCACCGTCATAAGGCTGCGGCAAACTCAAGCCACTGTGATTCGTCATGATTTGTCCATAGTACGGATGCTACCAACTTACAATGCCATTCTGGATGAGTAGATAGTGGTGTTGGCTGCGCTGTTCATCCAACCAATGGTCAAGGGCACATACGGCATGGTGCCTCCCCAAGAGAATCCGACCCAGCCATTCTTGATCGGCGATACTATCTGAAGAACCGTATCAAATGGCGCAGTCTGTGCTTCAGGTAAAGCGATGCGAAAGACGATTCCGTTGTTCGTAGCCCAGCTAGAATAGCATATCAGTGTTGCAGAATCGCAGTATCGCTTCGTGTCCTGTGCAAACGCTATGATAGAGTTAGTGATTCGACGTGTATCTGGAGTGAGTACAACATCGTACACACCTGTCCCCAATACGACCAATGCCCCAAACGTTAACTCCAATAGTTGCATCTTTGAAGAGTGTAATTTCTGGAAGAAACTTATCATTACATGTCGGATGCTGCGGTACTTCTAGAAACCAGATATATTTAGTCTTTTGGTGACCGGAACTGTATATCTAGACAATGTGCTACAGGTTCTGGTAGTAGATCTTCGTGACTTCCGACCACATGGGTATATGGGCTGCTGCAATCAATACTGCGGCTATTATCATAATTTCACTCGCTTCTGAAATGTCTCCTGACGTCGGTGAGCCACTCATGAGTTGTGCGGTTCGCTGCCTGTGGAAGCGTGGAGAACATGGTACCGGGTCTACCGGTATGTGTAGCACGGAATTTGCAAGCCATGAATGGCGCAGATTACTCCGAGTGATGATCTAGGATCTCTTCGATCTCTTTGCTCTTCATGATAATAACTGAAGCCCCGGTTTTAAGGTTTCAGGGCCACATAATGCTGCCTGGTATTGAATCGCAACAATAGCCTGGATAATGGGTCCTTTAACCTCGAGCTTCATTCGCTACAACCAGGAATCCAATATCATTTTGATCCTTGGAGGTCTCTGCGTGGAATTAAGCCAGGCGAGACTCAGGATAAGAAGTGTGGTTTTCTTACCAAAGTTAATGCTTGTATTCGTCGAAGGAGATGTTGGTAGAGTATGACAAATGAAGTGGTGAATTTAGCCTCGAAAGATCTGCAATGATTAAATGAATGGAAATCAGCACTCCGGAGCCTCATATATTCAACTGATGTGTACATTGGATCAATCTTCTTCGGTCCGACAGCCGTTGGGAATTTGCTGATGAAGATAGAGTTTTCAAAGTCACGGAGAAACTCATGAGAGATGCGCAACTAGATTTTCGCCTTCGCTGGTGCAGTAACCATGCGTCCGTGTACATAGCAAATGCCTCGAATCTTTTCCGCTGCCTCACCCCACAGCTCATTCCGCAGAAGACTATAGACACCCATCTTGGATTTGCCCTGAATATGCCTCGCCTTTGTCATCGCTACCTCTAGCATGTCTTTTGGGGCGGCTACATCATCTACGATCCCATCCTCATAGGCTTCTTTACCAGTCCAGCGATGTGCTTCTAGTAACATCTTTCGCGCAATTTGTGGTCGAAGTTTGAGCCGTGGTAGAAAGCCAATACCTGAAAAGTGAAGACCCAGGTCAACGGGAGGCATTGAGAAGAATCCTCGTGAGGAATTCATGATGCGATAATCATGCGCAAGGGCAAAAGGGCATGCACCGCCAAATGTGTGGCCCGTTAGGAGCGCAATCGTAGGGAAAGGATAGTCAAGTAGCGTTGCTAAGAGCTGTGTAGCGTTAACGTGTCCACTCCAGAGAAAGAGCACGATTGAGATGATCACTGGCCATGGTTCGTCTTTCCTTTCCAACTAAACCACAACGGGGATATAATGGAAAATTACCTTACCGGAAAGAAGCCGTCGCTATTAGCAAAAGGATTTGTGTCTGCTTCATCAAGCTCCAGCCCTGTACACCAATATTTCTCATCACTGCCCTTTGTGACGACACACCCTTCAGAATTTGGGCCTAGCTCGTGCTCTATGTCCCGCAAGGCGCGTATGATTTCCTGGGAAAATCTTACGTTCAAACGATTCCCTGGATCTTTTTGCATTGTGATTACAAAGATGCGGTCGTAACGATCGATGCGCAGATTCCAGTGATCGCCTAGCGTCATCATGGGCAGTGAAAATACCTAATCTTTGGAAGTAATGGTCTGATGTATCCGGTAGACTGGGGTACGAGAAATATAACTCTAGTTGAAAATTTCTGTGAAGAGCTTTCCGGATCTTTTGCATATGTATGCCATGCTCCGAATGTTGGGTTTGCTCATTGAACTCGATAACTCGACGGAGGGTGGAGCCTCGGCAGGTGCTTGCGGAGACGCGGGGATGCGGGGAAGTTGTGAATAGCGCACAAGTACCGGTACCGACCAAATGCTTGAACTGGTCGACTGGCAAGATCGATTGCTAACCAGTGAAATGCTTACAGATGGAATAGATCGGAATAGACTGCGAATTTGCACCCCAAGACTAAAACTCTAGCACAGAAGTGAACAAATAGTTCAAGATCGATCGCATGAGGTCTACCGGTACCTACCTAGCTACCGGGGGCTGTATTGACGAGACAATTTCTCCCCAGCAGCGACCACCATATACTTCTTCATAATCCAGCATCAGCCTGTTACAGTGGTTCTCGATGAAGACCGATCTGATAGGCCAGGCCAACGAAAACTCGTAGCCCAGAGCTACTTGTATAGTGGCTGATGTGTTCTCTCTCGGGATCCCAGCAGTGCAACAGACATGTAGGGGTAATTATGAGAACTCTTTCCGGCTCCTGTCCAGAAAAGTAGAATCCTCTGAAGTATATTGACGAAGGATCTGGTGCCCTCAGTATACGATCTACAAGTAGCATACCGTGCTGGAAAAGAAGAGTCACCTGGTCCTAAGTCTCGATCCTGAGTCCAGCCGCTATATATTTATGGGCGACTTTGGGTGGCATGGTGCCCAGAAAGAACCCATAAAGCTTTCTCGTATGGCTATTGGGGGCAGATCTGGTACGCGCTGCACCTTGACGTCAGTTTCAGATAGCCGATACGGAGATTTTCCCAGGAAGGATTGTATCGTTGTTCGCAAGGACATCAGTCTTGGTCTTGACGAGTCAGTTCTGGGTGCTTTCATGTGCGTCGAGTCTAAGCAGTACAAGCGCCAGACAGGCAGATGATAAAGCGCATGGCTAGTTTCAGGATAGTCAAGTCAAGATAGTAGTAGAACCATGGGAGGAGTCAATGTAGGAATTTGATAGAACCACTAATGCTAATTTGGGTAAGATTAATGCAACTCACAACCTCTTACTTCTGTGTACCATTAAGTACCCCGAAGATATGATCAGGTAAGATAAAGCCAAAGGCCAGGATATGCTATGAGAATCCTCATGAGCGGACTGCTAGCGTTGATATTTCTCGCCTGGAACAAATCAGCACCACCAGATAATCAGTGCCACCCTTTTACGCTAGCAGCTCGTTTATAGGTAGCGGTTCTCCTCTTTGCTACGACGTAACGTGTAATTTTGTACTGCCAATACCACATATTCCATGGCGTGCCTTTTCTCCTGCACGGGTATGCTTTAATTAGCATTAGCATTGTGTAGATATTGCGTACTAACCGGGTTTCATGTAGAACTTTTCACTCCCCCCATCACCTGGATTCTCTACCTTATTGACTACACAGTCATCTGCAAGATTGTACGGGGTTGGCTTCTGACATTTCTAGACTGCGTTCGTTACGTACATATTATAATTGTAGGCTAGAAGGTATAGAACAAACCCCGAGAAGGCCTTTATCTCTAGCAATGCAAGGACTGAACATGTTAAGGAGGATAAAGCTCGCAAGTACTCTCATATTAGTTGAGTTGTGATCGTGGAACCGTGTAAGGAGGTATTGTTAAGGTCTAGTAGAGCGGATGATGAAGTTAGCTAGATTGATGCAGGACGCAGGCTCTTACTTACCGTACGGTATGCGAAGCGCCTGTACCTTTCAGCATATGTCAAATAAGAGTCGAATTTGCCGAGCATCTGAGTCAAGGCTTTGAGCGGACTGAAAGTGAACAGCAGAACCGAATATTTCAACTACAGGGTAACACTCTCGTAAAATACACAAAATAACCCCTGTCTTCGTTGTTACACCGGCATGCTTGTTTCCATTAGCATCGCCGTAGCTTGGTACATGTGGCTTTTGCGTACTAGCGTAACCTGGTCGCGTTGACAGAATACGCAATTCTTGCCTAGGTTCACATGTTCACATACGCAAGTTAAACCCGAATTTCGCATTCTAGGTCGCGTTCTTAGACTTTGTTTATAATTCTTCGCCTATAATTTAGAAATTATGGAACAAACTCCGGGTATAATCTCCTTATCTTCGTCCTGATTAATGCAAGCACTACACAATCTGAGGACCATAGAGCACGCAGCCATTTCATGTGGATCGAGGCAAGATAGTGGAACTGGGTGAGGTATAGCAGCATATGAATTTGGTAGAGATGCCCAAGCTAAGTAGGTATGATACATTTTAGACGAGACACAAGCTCCCATTTAGAGGCCGCAGTTCCCATAAGCTCACCACTGAAGAACAGCCAAGAGCTAGGACATGCTATTTTAGCTGCAGTGTGTAGCCGTTTGGTTCATAAGGACCACAGTACAATGATTGCCTTGTCCGCTGCATGCAAAATCCTGTTTCACCATATTAGCATTAGCTTCTAGTGTATAGCTTTTGCATACTAACATGGTTGCATGGTGTGGCAATATAGCTTCCTTGTACTGGGGCTATAGAACTACAGATACCAGTATTGCCTGTCAGTGGGTCCACTGGGTTTGAGGGGGGGGGTGCAGGTCTAGATCTTGTTAGTCATCTATATAGTTATAACTGTACGCTAGGTACAGAACGCACCCCAGGAACACCATCATTCCGAGCAATGCAAGCGCTAGACATGTAAAGAAGAATCAAGCTTGCAAGTGATTTCATATTGGCCATGTTGAAATGGTGGAACTGTGTAAGAAGGAAGATAGTGTTGGGAAGTGATCGAGGAAATGTTGGAGCTTAGTTCCATCTGCACAGGAAGCAAGCTCCTGGTTATATGTCCGGGGGAGCACGGGAGCACCTTAGGCACCATCTAACCCGGACTGGGAAGAGAAATCAGAAGGACCCAAACCCCTAAACTAGGTACACTGAAGTCGAAGTAGTCCCACTGGCTCGTGCGCAGGCAGGGGGTTTGAGGCAGTGCACGCGGAGATCAGAAACACCCTAATAGGATAGATTACATGCCAATACTACTTAATTTATATGGTAAATTACGCACCCCTGAGCTCCTAAATGCCTCTATCTCCTGATAATCTGATCTACCAATATCCCATCCACCCACCCACCTATCCACCTACCTATCTACCTACCTATCAACTCACTTATTGACTCAAATATGCTAATAGGTATATACCCTAGTATTTGGCCTGCATATAGCCCTGATTTAAACCCAATCAAGACAGTATAGTGTTGGATGAAGGATTGGATTAATAGGGTCTATATAGGCAGAAAATTACCCTAAAAGGAGCTTGAGGAGGCAGTGAAAAGAGCCTAGGATACTGTTACACCTGAACACCTTCAATCCCTAGTAAATAGTATAAAGGCTCGATGCCAAGCTGTAATTAACGCTCAGGGTGGGCATACAAAGTATTAAATCCTAATATAGCTTAGTTTGCCACCTATCCTCCAGGTGGTAAAAAGCACGAGCCAGTGGGACTACTTCGAATTCAGTCCTGTACGCTCAGTTTCAAAAGTGTTCATTTCATTATATTACTGTCTTTGTGACATTTATGATATCACTCATTATGTAAAGAGAGACCTTACTGTACTCTAAAACTCGCCTCGTTTACGAAAGCTTGAATACATTGGATCCACGAGCACTCCATAGCGCACCTATAAGACCTCGGCTTATTGGTTGCATTTTTGCTGACGTCCGTATTACAGCCGTTTCATTTTCGTTTATGGAACAGAGGCAGATGGCTGTATGGTATTGGTCCAATGGAATTTAGTGCGTGTGAAAGGAGAATAGGCAGGCACGTTAGCCCGACGGTCTACCGGTACCGTACGGGACGATTGCGCGTCATGTTGAAATCCGGCTCTTGGAACATCCGCATTACAGCCGCAGACCCAATGACGTTCGAGGATACAAATTTGTGAGACAAACATAGCAGAGCTCGGTCGAGATGTTGAAAGGGAACAACGTACGGAGGTGGCTTTTAAAAGTTCTTGCTAACAGGGGTGTCTATATTACCGCCGTGATACCACTAAAGCTTAGACTACTCTATCGCGCCGCCCCTCCTTATACTTATTACTACCTTCTAGTCTAATAATCTACTAAATATAATACTATATACGCTCTATCTAAGCCTAGATTTAGTATTAAGGTAGCTTATCCTAAGCCTTTAACTATACTTTTATACCCTCTACTCTACTCTTAAGAGCGCCCTTCCTAATAGTGCGTAGTAAAATACCTATAATAGCACTAATTTAGGTAGTGGATTTACTACTAAAAGGTAACTTTAGAGTTATAATAAGCGTATAGGTATAAGGATTAGTATTAGGAGCTATAGTAGAGTAAAAATACTAAAAGATTAAGTAGATAGACTATTACTACTACTATCTATAGCTTTAAAATTAAGTGTATATAGGCTAAGAAAGTTAGACTAATAGATTAGCTGCTAACAAATACGCTAGCAAGAACTTTTGAAAGCCACCTCTGTACATAGTAGGTTTTCTCTTACCGCCTGCCTTAAACTAAACACTATTATCAAAATTAAGCGTAATAATTACTTACAAACACTCGTGTTAGTTGCAAGAATAGCTATAACTAACATATAAACTAGCGTTAATACAGATGCTCTTATACATACTGTAACAAGGTAGGCGCCCTACCTGTAAAATAAATACTACGTTATCTCCCCTGCCTGTACCACTTGGCTATGGTCCAAAAGGTACGCACGAGAATACTTAAGCTAAGTAATCCTCGCATAGTATAATATATATATCTTAGCTAAGCTTAGCCTAAGATAATAGTGCTAGACCCTAGCGCTAACCTATGAACCTTGTTTAAGTCTAGCCTAGGCATCTAGTAAGCGCTAGCTATTTTTGTAAGGTTCTAGTTATAGGCAATAGTATTTGCTTTACACTAGATAGAATAGTGTAGAGATAGCTATTAGTATAGTATTAATATAAGAATAATACTTGTCTTACCTAAGCCCTATATAAAGCGCAGGTTTTATATAGCTTAGGCGCTAAGACACTAAACCTAGCTAGGGGTGCACCTAATTAAAACACTATAAGGTATCTTTATAATAGGGTTGTTATAGAATCTCCCCCTCTAGCTATAGTCCCTAGTAGTAACTTATAGCCTTAATAAAAACCTTACCCTATAGGAAAGGAAAAGAGTATCTATAGTTTAACCTATAGATACGCTATATAAGCATTCCTTCTACGTGTTATATATATTATAGGTGTATAGTACGCGTGTATTATTATACTATAGTATAGAAAGTTAACTATTTACTTATTACTTAGTTAAGGCCTAAGCTTTATATATTATAAATAACTAAATACTTTACTACTATATACCTTAATCTTTAAGTACTTATAACACACCTTAACTATATATCCTATACCTATTAATATAGTTTACTATCTAAACCCTAAATATATTAAAAAGTTATACCTTTATAGTACCTAGCCCTATATATTTAACGCGCTAGCTAAGCGTGTAGATTAGGTAGCCCTAGCTATAACCTACCTGCGCTACGCTTAAAATATTACTAAGTAGAAAAAAGATTATAATATACCTAAGTATTATTACTATAAGCACTATACTACTAGTAACTATAGTAGGTATACTAAGGTTAGTACTAAGAGTTTACTTTAGGTATACTATAGCTAATTTCTATAGGTGCCCTAGGTAATAAATAGCTAATTAAATTATTTATATATCCTCTACGCTAACTATAATACTATAGTTATAAATACTACTACTCTAAGGATAGATACTAATATAATTACTATAGGCGTTAAGCTTATACGCTACTAGTGCTAGTTTAACTTAGAGCTATTAAGCTACTACTATATTACTACCTATACTAGCACACCTTTAGGTATAGCTACCTAGGTCCCTACTACTTTACCCTAATTCCTTAGCTTAATCCTTATAGAGTAGCGTTATATTATAGCTACGCTTAAGTAGATTATAGGCTATATAGCTAGACTTATAAGTGCGCTTATTAAGTGTATATAGGGTATATACTAACTAGTTTTAGGCTCCTAATAGTAGTAATAATACTAATAGCTCCTCTAGTAATAATAATAATAAGGAGGGTGCTAGTATTAAAGCTAGTAATAGTAGTAGAGATAAGGAGGATGCTAAAGGTAAGAAGGGCGCGGTTAAGGGCAAGGGCACTTAGGAGGAGTAGGTGTGTTACGTGTAGGGCGCAATTCCTATAAATTATATTAGGTATTTTTATATTTATAGATACCTATAGGCCTAAGGCTATATTTAGGCTAGAGGCTATATAAGAAGATATACTTCTTTATTACGTTTTCTATATATTACTTATAATCCTTTCTTACTTTCCTTATATAAGGAGCTTTACTAAGTTTATATTATTAAATTATATTATTTATATTCTTAAAGTCTAAGGGTAGAGTCTAGGTATCCTAGGATTTATTATAGCTTTTCTAGCAGAGTAGGTATTATAGTTAACCTTTCCTTTTCTACTTCCCTAGGATCTTCTCTACCTCCTAAACTTCTTCTCCTTTAGGTGTTACGTCTAGTAGGAGAGTATTATCCTCTTCTCCTATCCTAGGATTCTAATATTCTAGTAGGGAAATATAGAATACGTTATAAATATAATAGAAGGGTAGAAGGAGTAGGTAGTATACCTACGTTCTAACTACGCCTTATATCTAAAATAGGCTAATAAACTTACTAGATAGCTTCCTACTAGGTTATTTAGCTAAGTTAATATACTTAGTACTAAGTAGTACTAGATCTCCTAAGTAGAAGGTTTCTTTCTTATATTTCTTATTATAGTATTAGCTCTAATATTTATATACTTTCTCTAGCTATTCTTTTATTATTACTTTTATACTATATATATACTTTACTCTTTTAATTACGTCTAGTATCTCCCCCTCTAGCCTACTAACCTTAGGTAGCTTAGTAAGTAAGGGATGCTTCCTATATACTACCTAGAATAGGGTAACTTTTATTAACTTATATACTAAATTATTATAAGTAAACTATACTATAGTAAGGAGTGTTACCTAGTCTTCTTAAGAACTTAATATAAATATTCTTAAGTATTATTCTAGGGTCTAGTTCTAGCGTTCTATTTACTTATCTATCTATAGATAGAAGGTAGTGCTTAGCCTACGCTTTACCTATAGTTAGTAGTAGATTTCTATCTAGAATAAAGAAGTAAAAATTACTTCTCTATCTAATATAATACCTTTTTAGATCCTAAACTTTAAAATAATATATATAAAGTAAGCCTCTATAAACTATTTTATATTCTATATTTTTAAAGTAGGTATATAGAGTACTATCTTTAAGAAGTAATATATTATTATAAGGATTATATTAAATATATAACCTATAGAGTCCTTTACTAGTAGTAGGCTAGTAATAAAGTCTAGTGTAACCTCCTTAAAGATTTCTCTAGGGACTAGTAGTAGTAATAGCTTTCTATATTAGCTATACTTTAAAGCCTTACTTCTCTAGTAAATAGTATATATTCTTATATAATCCTAAATATCTTAATATAGAGTAGGCTAGTAGTATATCCTCTTAATTAGCTTAAGTATCCTATATATACTAAAGTAGCCTACTATATATAAGTTATAGTTCTAGAATAAAATCTCTTACCTAATAGCTAGTTCCTCTAGAATATATATTCTACTATTATATCTTAGGACTTCCTTCTTATCTAAGCACT